AGGGAAGTGTTTGTGAGGAGCAGTAGCGTGGCGTGGGTAAAAAATGAGGGGAAGCCAATAATACGTCCTTTCTTTTGGGTCGGGGGTGTGGTGGTCAATGTAATAACGTAACTAGATGAGTGATTACAGCACCCGGTATCATTTTACACACATTTGTATCATACAGGTGCAGGACTTACACACGCCTGTTATCTGACCGACAGGTCCGCACGCACTCTCCAGCCGAAACTCTAATAAGCATTAATTCACAAACTAAATCAGGAGACCTTTAACGTTTTACGTCCAATTAGCATATTTTTTCCTCGCTGTACACAGCTCGACTTTGGGCATTGGCCTGTCATCAGATTGTATTTGTTGTTGCTGCTGTAGCGGAAGTGTAGTACAATTATTTTTGATTAAATACTCCAAATCTCCACCCTCCATAATTGCACTTGCTTCAGTTGCTTGCTACTTTCTAACGGCGGTGAGAGTGGTGAAGTGGCGCTATCTATCTTCTATCGATTAGATTTATGATTCGGAAATTATAAAAGTAGGGTAGACATGTGGATATTATCAGGCTGAACAAAACGTGCATTTAAAATGCACGTTTTGTTCAGCCTGATAATATCCACATGTCTACCCTACTTTTATAATTTCCGAATCATAAATCTAATCGATAGAAGATAGATAGCGCCACNTGTTCCAATGTCCAGCGTACTTGGAATTCTACCGAGCCCGGCGTACTTCGTAGCGCGAAATTTCGAGGCTGCACATGTGTTGACTCCGCGGTCTTAAAATCCCCACAATGCNCTGTGGACCTGTTTGCTCTGTAGGCAAACTGCAGGGGGTCCAGAGAGTCAGGGAGGGAGGAGGTGATGAATGATTTGACTAACCGCTCAAAGCACTTCATTATGATGGAGGTGAGTGCTACTGGGCGGTAGTCATTGAGGCTGGTGATTTTTGTCTTTTTGGGGACAGGAACGATGATGGAGTTTTTAAAACATGTGGGGACTAAAGACTGCAGCAGGGACCTGTTGAAGATATCTGTGAACACCTCTGCCAGCTGAACTGCACACACCCTGAGAACACGGCCAGGGATGCCATCAGGTCCAGGAGCCTTGAGTGGGTTAAGAAGAGGGGGTAGAGGACCTGTGGTTCTAGGAAGTTGGGATCGCTTTGTGGAATACCTGACCTCTAACTGTAGCCTGACTGTAGGACTCTCACAAAAGGGCCTTTGTACAATTATTCTAATCAAGCATCCTTTGTTGTTATTATTTTATTTTATGATCGCTGTCGTGTCTGATTGGTAATCTTACACCTTTGTATTTTTCTCTTTTCTTTTAACCAGGAACACTTAACCAGTGGCGAGCCGTGACTTTTATACCTAGGCCCNGAAAATAAAAACCGCTGATTCAGAAATAAAAAAATCAGAAACAGGTCTATTACCAGGTAGGTTGACACGTGCGAGCAATTTGACTAGGTGTCGTGGTGCATACAAGTCAAACTAAAATAAAAAACACAGATAGCGAACTATTTTAAGAACACTTTAATAGTAGAGGACCTGTGGTTCCAGGAAGTTGGGATTACTTTGTGGGATACCTGACCGCTAACTAGTAGCCTGACTGTAGGACTCTCACAAAAGGGCCTTTGTACAATTATTCTAATCAAGCATCCTTTGTTGTTATTATTTTATTTTATGATCGCTGTAGTGTCTGATTGGTAATCTTACACCTTTGCATTTTTCTGTTTCCCCTTAACCAGGAACACTTAACTAACATGCTTTGTAGCTTGACCTTCCTCTTTCTGTATGCTGTACCGTGTGAGCTATGTACCATGTATGTTCATAAATAAAAACGTTAGTAACAAAACCAAAAATAACACTATAATAACATTAAAAATAAGAAAAATTAACAACATCTGGCCAGCTGAGCAGGAAGTGATGAGCAGCTGGGCGTCGGTTCCCATCGGCCCCCCGGGACACCCAAAGGTGTGACTCCTGACACTTCCTGGGGGACGGGTGACTGATGCTGTCGACACTGAGTCTCTATGGTGACGGGGCATGGACCACTCACCCCCCCCCCCACCCCCTCGTCTCCATAGCTCCACACAACCAGGCTGGGTAGCATAATAAACACCCGGCTCTGAGCTACCCATGTAGATGCTATCGGACAGCAAAAATAACAAACCCCCGAGACCCTTTTCCTGGCTGGAGCCGAAGAACAACGCCCCCCCCCACTCCCCGCTTTTTAAACCAGGGGGGGGGGTTCAGGGACCTGCAGAGCTCCACAGCATGGGTGGCTGAGAGAGGGGAAGTGAGGCATTCATGACAAATTCCCCAAAGAGAGACCTCTAAATATTTTTCTTATCCTAAACGTCCACAACTCTGGAACGCACTGCATATACATGTCATTCTCTCACTGGCACAATAATAGAGGATTAAAGTGGAATTTAGCTATTTGGATTTAGCAATTGAATTGTTGCCCGATACTTTTGTTTCAATTATATATATTAAAAAATAGGAATATATTCCAGAATACCCCTTAGATTAAATAACAGTGGTTGGGGATACTGCCATGAAGATATTTCATTACCTTTACAAGTATATGAACAATTAATTAAAGTTTCCTCGTTTTTAATATTTTTTTGAGCAAGTATAAATCTTCTTAAGAATACATATCAAATATTGTATTAATAAAATGGCTCTTGTTACATAAAATACATCGTCATACCTTATGTGAATATAAAATAGGATGTTTTTATTTCATCATTATTCATTTATACATTATTATAAGTTATATATCTGTTAATATAGCATTACATTTAATAAGTGGATCTTTTATTTATAGAGTCAACAATTAAACTCCATAAGATTTGAACACATTAATGAAGTCTTAAAGGTCCCATGTCATGCTTTTCTGGTTATTACCCGTCCCCTTGTGTGTTATGAAGGTTTTTCTGCATGTAAACGGTCTGCAGAGTCACAAACCCTCAAAGTACACCCTGTAGCGAGTAAAACTCTAACACAGAAAATACCTCCCCAAAACGCTTCGTTGGAGATACGTCACTGTCCATTGATTCTTCCGGGTAACTCATGATGTCATGCGTTACCCGGAACCAAATGGACCAATCCGTGGAGCTGTTACGTTACGTCCACGGAACCGTTACGTTAAGCCCCCGCTGATTGGTCCAAATTGACCAATCCACGGACTTCCTCACACACACACTCAGTGCAGGCAGCTCTGCTGATCTCTCCTCCCTGGCTGCAGGCTGATAACAGGCAGTTGGGATCGAGGCGAAATTCTCTCTGCAGACCCATTCTCACAGCGTTTATCAACCTTTTTCTTACTCAATATCAAGCCACACTTATTGTTTTTACTTCGGCTGTGACTTTGTGTGTGCTCAGGATGAGTTTGGCTGTGTATCGCTAAACAAGGAAACCAAACCTCCACGGAGCTCAGCGCGATTCACAACGTCCCGACCAATCAGAGCACACTGTGCTCACAGGGAGGGTGGGGGCTGGAGCCGTTAAAGGCAGAGTGAAATTCAGTGAATACACATCGTTTACAGAGATGCTGGATGAGAAACCAATGTGAGTTTGGAAAATTGCACAATATAAATCTATTCTAGTAGACCTCAACAATGGAATTATGATCAGTGAAATGGTCATGACATGGGACCTTTTTTAATATGGTTATCCTGCTGAACTGAAGTATCATAAACGTTTGTCTGACATAATAACAAAAATCCCATGGAGGAATCTCATTGGACCAGGGAGATGCTGCCTTCTGGGAAAAACACAGAATGACTGCAAGCCACATCATGCTTCACTTTCTCCCTCTTTACCAGATCCTCCCAAAAAGACTGGAGGAAATTAAACGTCAGCAGCCACTGGAGGGCGCCTCAGCACCGGGGAGCCTCAACATATTTGAATAAAAACGAAAGACACACTCCATATCTCTCTTTCTACTGCTTTCAAACTGATCACACTTATCTTTACGTACCTCATTGTCAAAAAGGGTGGCTTCTCAATGCCAATACTCCTTTTTAAATGTAGGTGTAAAGATCACTAAATTAATCAATCTTCTAGAAATGGCTGCTTTGTTGAAACATTCATGTTAATTATAAAACCTTTAGTTTTATACATTTTTTTAAAATACTTTTCACTACGATTTCTATTTGTAATTATACCTTTATCATCCAGATTTTTCTGACTGCAGCTACATTTTAGATCAGTGGTGTCGAACTCAATTTAATCGCCGGCCACATCAGCATTAGGGCTGCACTCAAAGGGCCGGTTGTAACTTTAAGACTATATCAAAATAATCGATATGACATTATTGCCTCTGAATTGGATTATTATCAGATAGGGTAATAACTTCATAATTAACTGCATCTGAAAGCAGAAGTCTGGGGCAAATAATTGCAAGTCTCTTCAGTGAGAATGTCATAAAATGATTTTAAAAGAAAAGCCAAATTCTGGAAAAAGTAACATTTAAAAATAAAAGAGTCAAATTCTGAGTCTAATTTGAGATGCATTGTGGGACATGTAGTTTATGGGCAACGTGCTTCTGTAAATCATCACGTAACCGTATAATAAACATATAATATTCTTTGCAAGCTCTTGTGGGGCCACAGTAAATGAAGTCACGGGCCGGATTTGGTCCCCGGGCCTTGAGTTTGACACCCCTGCTTTAGATGAACATTAATGACCATTAACTGTCATAAAAAGCAATCATTAATTCTGCAGCGGGACATCTTTCCCCTGTGTCTCCCACAGACCTGCATACATTTACATCCCATTACAGCAGATATTAAACACAATACATGGAGACAAAGATATCACTGCAGTTATTAGTTTGAAAGGTTATGAATAATGATGAGACTCTTACAGAGAGTAATTAAGGACGATTATATGAAGCCAAATGTAAAAATACTAGTGTGGAAATGATGCAGTGAGTTATTGATTTATTTGTGCATCCCGAGAATAAAGGTGATGGGTTAATACCTGCAGCTCAGAGGAGATTGATTCACGACGATGGGATCATTTAGATTAATAAATCATCTTTACTGCAGAAACATCAGACAGGAAGTGATGGGAACAACTCGTCTCCAGTTATCTGATGAATAATAAAGAATAAATGTTGTTAAAATTCAGTTAATTTGACAAAAAAAAAATCCAGTTTCACTTAAACTCTTAACATTAAATCATGTTTTCTATCAAATAAATGCTCCTTTCTACTCATTTATGTTCAGATTTTAAAGAAACACATTGAGTGGTTTGCAGCTTTACCAGCATGCATTGTTTTAAGGGTAAAAATCTCTTAGATATGATTATTTTGTACAGGAATTAACATTTTGATGGAAGCGGAGGCAAATTAAAAACAATTATGTACCATTAGGTAAATTGGAATAACAAAAGCTGCATGTGTGGAAGATGTGTCTAAAAAAAAGAAATGAAATGGCAAGTCCAATCAATACAGAATATCAAACCAGAGAATATCTGACATGAATGACAGGATCACCACTAATTGATACAAATCCATACGAGAGTGGAAAAATAACTAAATACCCCTCTCTGATTAAAAGATAAAGCCATCTGTTCCTGTTTCTCTTTGACTCACACCGGACATGCAGCGCGCATTTGGAGAGAAGCTAAGCGTAAAAAGGCGCGTCTCCGTTTCTCTGGATCCTTCCGCGTCAAATCCTCCAAACTCAGTCCGAGTAACAGAGCGTCTCCAGCGGCTGCAATCACAGCAGCAGCCTGGGGAAACAGAAGCTGAACACGCGGATACAAATGCTTTAAATCCGGGGTTTCCGCTGTCTTGGAAACTTTCTCTTTTCACACATCCTCTGACCGGATCTCTGCCATCTCTAACCCGGAGAGTGGACATCATCACCGGGTGGTGTTCTGCAGATTTCCACCAGATAATACACTTTAAAACTCGGACTGAGCATCTGAAGAGAAGATCGTTATTATCCCAGTAAGTTTGAGGTGATTTCCCTCTTGTTTTCCTTTGTGTTCTGAAGTGTTTACTGGGACAACATCTGGATCCCTTTAACGAACAGGTCATGTGCAGTTACTGGGATTTAAATGGATTAAATGCATATAAATAGACTTCAATGGGAACATCTAATCCTCTAACACAATTATACTGCACAACATATATTGAGGCACTTATATATATTTGAATAAAGTACACAAGCAGCTGCAGATGGGCAGGATTTGATATGAGAAGAAAAGATAAATCAGGAAATAAAATCCCCAAATTGGAAACCCTCACCCTGAGCTTCTTCTGCTACACATGTGGTTTAAAACACACGTGCAAAGGGGATTTAAGTCCATTTTATTTACTGTTTGAGCTCCAAAATCTCACATTTCCTTCATCTCATATAAAGCCTGAAAACAAAGGGCTTGGTAGTTTCCACTCCGGACCTCCAGGTGGCGCCACTTTAGCTACAATACTAACATTGCTAGCATTAGATTTAGCATGTCTTATAGCTTCTGGTCTTTATTTGAGAGTTCTGTTTGTTATCATTTACTTCTGGACATCCCTGAAATATAAGTTTCCTGTCCGTTCAAGTCTAAGTATCAACAACAATTAGCTTTGGAATATCCGGTAGTTGAGTAGAAGTACTCAGACCTTGTAATTAGTAAAAGTAGAAGTACTCAGATCTTGTACTTGAGTAAAAGTAGTACTCAGATCTTGTGCTTGAGTAAAAGTAGAAGTATCAGAGTGTAGGAATACTCTGTTAGAGTAAAAGTCCTGCATGCAAAATGCTCCTCAAGTAAAAGTATAAAGTATTATCATCAAAATATAGTGAAAGTATCGACAGTTAAAGTAGTCATTCTGCAGATTGGTCCAACCCTCTCTCTTTTCCTCCGTACCCAAATCTCTAAAAACGGGGGAACAACGGAGCTGATCCAGATTTGCGTCCGATATGACGTAATATCTGAAATGTGAACCCACGGCATATCAGAAACGTTGCTATCAGAAACAATGCCCGACTGTTTTGGACGTAATATGGTCGGTGTTTACATTAGCATGGCTAACACTCAGAGCTAACCTCTACTGGAGAGCATGTGTGTGAAGAAGCAGGAAGTAAAAAGGAACTCACCTTGTGGTATAACCGGCAAGAGAGAAAGCCTTTGAGCTCCATACTGTTTCAGAGAGAATCCTTGATAATCCATGATATGGCGTTTCATCACGGCAGTGTTTAAAACACTGCCGTGATGAAACGCCATATCATGGATTATCAAGGATTCTCTCTGAAACAGTATGGAGCTCAAAGGCTTTCTCTCTTGCCGGTTATACCACANAAAAAAAAAAATATACAGCGTTTCGTGAACATCGGAAAAACTATATGCGAGCAGTTTGGAGCAATTTGCGCCATGTAAATCGTCAAAAATGGTGTATTCTCTGTTAGCTTACGACCTCCACGAGGGATTTCTCAAAAATGTGCTCCGCAATTAAGTATCATATTGGATAGGGGCTGAACTTGTCCTGCATTGGAATTTTTCCGATCATTCCCCTAGGAGGAGTTCGCAAGAATGTGCTTAAAATGCATGAAAAACGCACATTTTTCAAAATGGCCGACTTTCTGGGGGGCGGGGCTAATGGAAGGCAATTTGAAATATGTGTGCAATCATAATAGTAATGTATATATTGCGTTTCGTGAATATTGGAACAAATATATTTGAGTAATTTGGAGTAGTTTGGAGTCATTTGCGACATGTAAATCGTCAAAAATGGTGTATTCGCTGTTAGCTTACGACCTCCACGATTGAGCTATCAAAAATGTTCTTCTAAATTTAGCATCATAGTGGATAGGGGCTGAACGTGTCCTGGACTGGAATTTTTCCGATCTGTCCCCTAGGAGGAGTTCGCAAGAATGTGCTTAAAATGCATGAAAAATGCACATATTTCAAAATGGCCGACTTCCTGGGGGGCGGGGCTAATGGAATCTATTTACAAATATGTCCGCAATTCCATGAGGAATGTCTGTGCCAAAATTCGTGAACTTCTGAGAAACTATATGTGACTACCACACAATAGGGGGCGCTAGTGAGCAGTTTTTTTGAAAAATTACGTTTTTTTTTTTACATTCTCGAAAAGGTTGCGTCCAAAGCTCATTTTATGCCATCGGAATAAAAAAAAATGCATAGGCCACGCCCACATTGTGCATTTGTTGCGACACTTTAAAATCTCAGTTCGTAGTCACCTCCAGAGTATGTGTAAAAAAAAAAAAAAATAAAAAAAAAAAATACAAATTGTATTCGTCCATCAGTTCTTGAGTTATAAATTGGTGGTGTTTTTGGCACCCCCTATAGTCCAACATGAAAAGGCTTTGGTGTGCCTATTCCCCAATACAGAACCTATCCACCAAAATATGTGATGTTTGGATACATTGTTGATGAGTTATGAGCATTTCTTTCTAAGCCCCGCCTTGTTGCGAGTACATTTTGATTCATGGCGGCAATATTTATCGTTTGAACATGCTCATTTTCTACGGTAATGTGTCTTACCCTCCACCGATGCTGTATAGAAAGTTAGGTGTTGAAAAACTGAAATTTAAGTTAATGTCACTGTTTTTGTAAATTATACCAATTAAAAAATAAATAAAAATGTCGGCGGAGCTTAGGGTTCCAAGAGGATTATTTGTAGAGCAGGTCCACCCGGATATGTGTGCAAAATGTCAGGTCATTCGGAGTTACAGTGCGACTTTGTAAATGTATTCCGATATGGGATTTTGATCGGTGGCGCTAGTGAGCAGGATGGAATATTTAACCCATTGACTCCAGAATATTGAATTTTCCCCCGGTCCTGGTGTCCGTGCAAAATTATACAACTTTTGAAGCGTCCTAAAGGCCTCAAAAACAGGAAACGCCAGCACGATAATAATAATAATAATAATTCCACCTTCGTGCTAGGACGCCGTTGGGTCCTAGCGCTCCGTGCTCGAGCCCTAATAAAGCGCTCCTCACCCTTTGCTTGTGTTGAAGGTCAGGTAGTTTGTCTCGGAGGTTCGTCTGTGGAACGTCACACACGTGTGTTCGGACACCAT